AGTAGCGGTGATAGTATACATCCTTGTCTCACACCAGCGACAACCCGGATAGGGTCGGATAAGGCTCCGTTATGCAGAACTCTGCACGTGAAAGCCTCATACTGCGCTTCGATGAGGTTGACGATTTTATCCAGGACTCCCTTGCGTCTCAGGGTGCCCCACAGATTCTCGTGATTGAGACGGTCGAAAGCTTTTTCGTAGTCAATGAATACCAAATAAAGGGACTCTTGGAATTCATTGACCTGCTCCAGGATGATGCGGAGTGTGACAATATGGTCCACACAAGATCTTCCGGCACGGAATCCTGCCTGCTGCCGTCGGAGAGTCGCGTCGATCTTCTCCTGTATCAGATTCAGGATAACTTTGCACAGAACTTTGAGGACAATACACAGTAACATGATGCCTTAACGTCGCCGGTGGTGTAGTGGTAAGCGTGATTACCTCTCACCCCAGCAGGCCTGGGTTCAATCCCAGTCGGCGCCGCCGGGATGTTCTGAGGCATAACATCTCTGATCACGCCTTCCTTCGGATGGGAAGTAAAGCCGTTGGTCCCCGGTTCATGAGTTGATGGGTCGATAGGTAGGGTCCAGGTGTGGGATCTGCCTTCCTGGCACGTCGGTAGCATTGGTGCTCAGCACGGAAAACAAGATCGACGGAAAAAAACAAACCAAAGGAAAAAAAAAAAACATGATGCCTCGCCAATTGTCGCACACAGTCAGATCCCCCTTCTTTGGGACCTTCACTTCAGACGCCCTGCATCCAGTCGGCCGGAAAAGTCGCGGTATCCCAGATATTACAGAATAGTTGATGCAACATTTGTGCGGATAGCATGGGGTCAGCTAGGAGCATCTCTGCTGATATGCGATCGACCCCTGGAGCCTTGTTGGATTTCATGCTTCGGATAGCTGCTTCAATCTCCTGCAGTGATGGGGCCTCGGAATTGACGCGAGTGATGCGCCGCACCCTAGGCGGATCATGCCGAGATGTTGATGGCTGGTTGGCCGTCGAAACTTGAAGAAGTTGTTCGAAGTGCTCAAACCAGCGTTTCAGCTGGTCAGTGGGGTCGGTAAGCAATTGTCCAGTCGTGTCCTTCACTGGCATCCTCGGGTTCATTCTTGCTCCACTCAGGCATCGTGAGATATCGTAGAGGAGGCGTATATCGCCAGTGTTTGCGGCTTTCTCCCCTTCGTTGGCCAGGGAGTTCACCCACGCTCGCTTGTCCCGTCTGCAAGAGCGCTTGACTTCCTTCTCTAGAGCCGAGTACCGTTGACGAGCTTCGTTCTTGGCTCCTCTGGTTCTCGCCCGCTCTATCGCGGTTTTTGCTTCTCTACGCTCCTCAATCTTCCGCCAGGTTTCATCTGTGATCCACTCTTTCCTCTGGGTGCGCAGCTCACCCAAGTTGTTCTCGCTTGTTTCTATAAAGGCATTATTGATGGCCGTCCATTGTTCTTCTACGCTGCCACCTTCTGGAACGTCCGCAGCTCGAGTCTCAAGTTCTTCAACAAAAGACCTTTTTACCGCTGGATCTTCAAGTCGGCGTGTGTTGAACCACCGCCCGAGTCTCTCCTCCCGTCGCTGGATCCGCGCCATGCGTAGGCGGATTTCACCGATTAGAAGGTGATGGTCAGACGCGATGTCGGCGCTGCGTTTATTCCGGACATCAAGAAGGCTCCGTCTCCATTTTCGGCTGATGCAGATGTGGTCGATCTGATTTTCAGTATGTCTATCACGGGAAACCCACGTGACTTTGTGCACTGGCCGATGGGGGAAGAGCGAGCCCCCGATCACCATGTCGTTATTGCCACAAAATTCTGCAAACAGCTCACCGTTCTCGCTCATTTCGCCGATACCATGGCGTCCCATGACACGCTCATAGTCCGTGTTCTCGGAGCCGATCTTCGCATTGAAGTCGCCAGTGTAGATCTTGATGTCACCCTTTGGGACCTTATCCACGACGGCATTCAGTTGACTGTAAAAAATTTCCTTGTCCTGTAGCTCGGCAGCATTGGTTGGCGCATAACATTGGATTATGGTAAATAAGCCTACGAAACCGTGTTCTAAATCCGGCAGCGATTATCCTCTCATTAACAGGCTCCCGCTTGATGAGCGCAGCACTTGCCTGGACGCTAAGTAGGAGACCAACTCCATGATGGCGCGGAGCGTTTTCACCTCGAATACCGGAGTATAGTAGTACCTGTCCCGACGGCAGTTTGTGTTCTCCAAAGTTTGGCCAACGAACTTCACTCATTCCATAATCCAATTCGTGTCCGTTGTTTTGCGCTTAAAGTCGTTGCCGTTAAATCAGTTCGATGTCTTTCTCTATTGGTTTCTGTAACAATTGTAAAGGTTTCAGAGACAGTAGGAGGTTGGCCTAAGGTCTCCTATCCGCCGTGATGGGCCTGCCATCTTAGATGTAGCTTCCGTGGAAGGGCATTTCTTATTCAGCCGCTGGATGCCCGTCAGACGCTGTTTGAGCCGCACCTCCATGGTAAACAGACGCTCGGGTTGGCGAAGCATTTCCTCAATCACCGTGCTATGGTTACCGCGCCAGTGTTCGCGACCACTGCTAATGAATCCTCCAATCCACCAATCGAAAAATATTGGGCAATTTCAAAGCAGCGACTTCGACGAAGCGGCGGGGCAGTCAAGGGCATCCAGCAAATGCGGAGAAAATGGAAGAAATGCGCTGATTTCGTGTCGGTGTGCGGACGGTTCGAGATTTCGTTCGAACTGGAGAAACGTAACCATCTAATGCTGTAAGTTTGAAGTTTTAATAAAAGTACTGTAAAGCAACTATAAATGGACTTTTTATACTTATTGAATCACGAATTACAGGTCTTTTTGTTTTTAGTCACCCTTTATGCCGCTCACGGAAAGGTTTGAAAACACTGCACACGGTCGATTTAGCCAATTTTATCGACTTCGCGAATTTTTAACCTGACCACGTCGGATTTTCCAAGTGGGTGTCCAAATTTAATTTTCGGGTCGCGGCTTCCATCAAGTATAACTTCTTTTAAACCAAATGAATCGTGACGAACTTGTCAGCACTGAACGAGGAAACATTTCAAAACATTCCAGATCCGACTGATAGGAGCATTGCAGTAAAATAAACAGTGCGTCCAGATATTAAATAACTCAAGCTTAAGTCAAAGATCTATTAGAATTTTTCCTAGAACTCCTTAGAAAATATTCTCTTAAATACGTAGGTTCTTGTTTTACGATTTTTTTTTCAGTTTTGAAATGTCCATTATTTTGCGCATCGCAAATGTTTACATTTTGCATAAGCTTTTTTTTATTAAAAAAAAAACAAAAATCGTGCAAGATATTTTGGTTTTTAACATTAATGATACAACGTCGCTAGAACTATAACACAGCCGCAGACAGTCCCCCCTATTCTGCGAGTCACGTAACTTGCAGAATAAGGGAGAGTATATGAGCAAGTCAAACGCGTAGTCTTTTGCTTGTAGATTTGAAGAAATACTTCAAGTCTCCTCATACATTTATGTATGGTTAGGTAAAGGAGTGTGCGTTTGACTAGTACTGTCGCATTAATGGCCCTTCGCTAACTTTCAACTTCTATTCAAATTTTCAATTTCAACCTACCCTCTTCAGAACTTTCTCTAGTTAATAAATGATCGCACTAAAGCTTCATGTTGATATTAGGTTTCTCATGATATTTTTTTGTGATACAATGAATTTCTCATTATCACCCAATCTAGCAATACCCCTCATACTTGCAGGAAACAAAAACACTGCAGCAATCCCATGACCCTTCTTCTTTTCGTTTATACGGAATTGACCGGCATGATTTTCGCGTAACAAATATTTATTTATGCATCCAACGTAAGCAGTTCGGCATCGTCCAATCACAAGGAAACGATGCCGAACAATAACAATCTCAGTTCGCAAACAAACATCGTGTTTTGTTTATTCTTCTTTTGGTACAAGTAGGTTACAATATGAGAGGATAATACATACGAATATAATGGAAAACTTGTTCTGATACGGTGAGAGATTAAGGGGAAAGGAGACGTCATTAATTTTTCGAAATTTAAAAGTAGTTTTTTCCTCTAAGACCGAAATTCTGTCAATGCAAATGTGTTCACTGTGTTCCGGTAGGCAAGTAGAATGCAATGAATACATTTTCATGAACGTAATATTGGTTTTGAACGAAACAACTGCTTATGATTTTTGTTTAAAGTAATTGCGTCCCCTTTTACCTTAAAAGAAAGAGAGAAATACTTGCTTCGTCATTATTCTTAAGCCGGATGGGCAGTGAACTCTTTCCGAAAACAAAGATCCCAATAAAAAGTCGAACAAAAATTCCAACGAATGCAGCGAACAGGAGAAAGTGGATCGAATACAATTTCAGAGCAGTTGCTTGATAAGCGATTATATGTGCGGTGGGTTCTAATGGAGATGTTTTCGAAACAAAAAACCTCTACATCATATGTTTTTAATTAACACTCAATCAAACTTCTAATCGAAATTTTGCACTTCATTCCACAAAATTTTCCAATTAAATCTTCTTATGAACCCATCGTCCCAAGCTGACCGGAGCCCCTCAACAACCGAGAATGCATCGGCTCTGTCAATCCGTCCGTTTCGTATACAAACAATACAATTGTGAAGGTCAAGTCACCTCTTGGTTGTAATCTGATGCGGCGAGCAACACGGCTTCAAGCCGTTCAAGGAAGCTGCTAGTACTATTCCAGCGCTGGTCAAGTGAACATCATTCAACTATCATGGCTTACCGGGGGTACCCCAAATCGAAAGAGATCAACTTCAACAAACAAGATTCCCGCACTGCGCTGCAGGTTCTCAGCGATCAAGACCTGATCGAGACCTTAAAACGCGTGGATAGTGCCGATTCGGGCGATGATCTTGGTGACGTGTCGTTTATCAAATTCACGAACACAATCATTTCTGCCGTAATCGTCGAGGAAAGGTCAGTTACTAACGGTTATCTTTCTGTTCTTTTGTTTTGTTTTGCTTTGCAGTTCAGGGTAATGAATCACCCGGTATTCACACGGCCAACAGTGTCGGAGCAGGAGGTGGCGGCGGTGTGGGAACGCTCGGAGCTGGGCTCAGTTTGTCGCAGGAGAATCTCGCCGGTGGACTGCCGAATGAAATCTCGGCACCGTACGAAGTGCCACAGTTTCCGATCGAGCAGATTGAGAATAAGCTGCAGCTGCAGCGGCAGCTGAACGCCAAGTGAGTATTTGCAAATTAGGTGATTATGTTGTGTGGTCTTGGTGTAACGTGGAGGTGATCGGTTGATGATAAGACTCATCCCCGATGGTTTCGGAATCAATCAAGGTCGAAGGGAATGTTTCCGAAAATAGCCACCAGGTGGTACTAGTTAACAAGGAAGTGTTGTCTGTTGAATCCACAAATGGCTGATTGTAAAATCAGGTTTGATAGCGGCCATTTGTGGCTTCTATCAGTCGTGTCGTTAACATTTTGATTTGTTTTTATTTTATTTTGTGAGACAGAAGGGGGTCTTATGAAGGCCACATTCCAGAACGTGAGTGGTTCATGATGATCACGTCAAACTATAATGTCTAATAGCGAATTCGTTTATTATCGGGGTTGGAACCAGTTCCAACCCAGTGCGAAACCGAACTTTTTGTCAGTGCGAACCTCAACCTGAGCTAGGTTTTAAAAACAAACGAGCAAACTGACGTTTGTCAGAAAACAAGCAGACCCAATCTTGATACCCGATCCAGGTTGGAACTGAATAATAAACGAATTCGCTATAAAATAAACCACATGGGGTTGCCCTAGAACGGCTTCCATATACTCTCCTTGCTGAATCGTGAGTCCTTCCTTTTCCCCTTTTCCAGCATGCAAAATAATAACCCAATGCAGGTCAATTGAATATGCCTAAATGAATTAGTTGCAATGATAGTACAAACAGTGAAGTAGTTGCAATGAATGAATTAATAAGTGTACAACAGTGGACAAAATGAATTAGTTGCAATGATAGTATAAACAGTGATGACAGTATAATATACTAATTGAATAAAATGAATATTTACCTGTTAATAATGATCGAGATTGGTGCAAAGTAAGGGAAGTTGTTAGTTGATTTTACCATCACAGAGTTTGACAGTAGCGCGATGGTATATTATTATGATGCTGATTAGACGAAAGTGGGAAAACATCATCCTCGTCGGTAGAGAAACGTCTGAATTCTGGGAACCCATCTACCAGTTGAACATCGCTACTTGAATCACTGAGAGTATCTTCCGAGTCTTCGTATTCTGATTCCACCATTTTAGTGAACAATCTTGTCACGGCTGTTGCACAGGTCTACTGAAGATTCCCTGATTTTCAGTTTTTTTCAGGTAGTAGACACCCTGTTCTTTTTATATTTTGACTTATCCTAAAAATTCTCTGTATTTTGTTGGGAAGTCCTTTAAGCTTTCACGGAAACCGGATAATCGCTTGGTTTGAGATGATCATAAGAAATAACTTCTAGCTCAATCAGAGTGTAACGGACTGAATTTATTTCTTAGATAACTGGATCATCTACATACAATGCCAGTCGAGCTAAGACCTGGGTGTCCTTTACTGTACAAGAAAGTCGTCTGCATTCCACTCGATCCATGCCCACTGCGCTCGTCTTCGTGTCGTTCCAGTTCGTTCGTTATCGAGAACCAAATTTAACGGACTGTTGTCCGAAATTCTACCGATGTGCCCAGCCCACCGTAGCCACCCGATATTTGCTGTATGAACGATGGGTGGTTCTCCCAGCAGCTGGTGTAATTCGCGGTTCATTCGCCTTCTCCACGTTTCGTCTGCACTCCGTAGATTGTAAGAAAGTATTATAAGAAGCTTCACATAGTTACCAACAAATAGCAAGGCTTCAATATTAGGTGCAACTCCATATCATATGATGGAATATTGTAGGACATCCGAACTATTCTGGAATCTACGTCATCAGAGTCATCAGACACAACAGTGGGGAATATGTGGAAACTGCCCAACGGTATGGATAGAGTCATTAAATATCGTAGGAAGGCTTAATACAATGTCATGTTAATTGAATGTCGTACACTCTGAAAAATCTTAGGTGGTTTTCGTCCACCCTATTATTCACGTAACTTTTACCGGAATTGCATGTAGCCGATCAAAATTCAACTTCAATTATCTACATGATTAGTCAGGTAAATGAGACCTGATTTCCACGTACTGCTGACATTCCGTTTTGTTTAAAATGCTTTACGTGAATTTTTAATGAGAATGTATAGATGCATTCAATATTATGCAATTTTATCGGGAAGATATAAATTTCACGTGTTTAAATTAATACTTATACCTACTCATAAAATTGTAAAATATTGACTATTTGATTATTATTATTATTAGGTAGAAACCAAAAATAATATTAACACCTGTTTGCAGACTCAAAGAGCTGATGTCACTGTCTGAAATTATAAAACTAGAAAAAGGCTACATATAATCATAAATAAATTAATGTAAAGAAATCTAATTACCTTCCAACATTTGCAGCAAGCGCTGAGGAATTTTGAATCTTTAATGAGTTCTTTCACCACGCTCGGTGACGCCATATTGATTTTTTACGTACCTAAAAATCACGTAAATCTCGTTTCACGGAAATATCGAAGTCCCAAACACACTAAATCTGTTTACGTGAATATACGGTCAATTTCACCAACATTTTTAGTGGACATGACGTGTAATGCAGGTCAAAGTTACTAACGCCACGTAACATTTGAGATTTTCTTAATACAGATCAGGTACGTGCCCTCAATTTAGTGTGCTAGATGCACTTCCACAGTTATTAATCGAGATCTTACGATGCATGTACCAGTTTTGCATTAGTATAATTGTGTGGCAAGTACAATCATAATGGCGCCGGTAGTGAGCGTAAGCGAGATTACCTTTCACTCAAAAAGGCCTGGGTTCAAATTTTCTGAGGCATAACATCTCTGATCAGGGAAGTAAAGCCGTTGGTCCCCGGTCCATCAGTTGATGGGTCGATAGGTAGGGTCCAGGTGTGGGAGCTGCCTGCCTGGCGTCGGTAGTATTGGTACTCAGTACGGAAAACAAATCAACCAAAAAAAAAGTACAATCATACTCTCTTCACCCAGGACCAGAAATCAAACCCAGCCACCTGCAGCATGGTCTTGCTTTGTAGCTGCACCTTTACCAACTGAGCTATGGGAGGCCCAAACCAGGTCAACCAGTTGTACAAGCTGAATAAAATGGCATTAGGTGACTGTGTGAGTGCACAGAGCCTCTAAATATCGTAAATTGGGGGAAAATGAAGATCATTGGATATTCTTGGACATCGAAAATATTCTGAAGTATAAGCGTTTTAGACTAATTCAACTAATGTTAGAAATCACCAGGTTTTGCCATTTCAGATTGAAATATTGATCAGTCAAATTGAACCTCAATTTTCATGAGAAGCTTCAAAAGCATTTGAAGCTATTTTGTAAAGATTTCAGCATTTTGAAGTCTGGGCTTTTATGTACATTACATACTTTTATGGACTTTTATGGGCATTGTTGCAATTAATTAGACTAATATAATTAATTTTATAAAACACCCGGCTTTGCCATTTCAATTTGCAATATTTGTAAAGCGAATAGAACCTCACTTCTCATGAGTTGTTTCAAAAGTATTTGAAGATATTCTGTGAATATTTCAGAATATTTGGAGCATAGGCTTGTAGGTAAAGGGTGATATGGTCAAAATTTGGTCAATATCAACTTGACGTATTTCTTTCAATTTTGCATTTAAAAAACCTGAACACCCCTCATTTTGAAGGTGTGTGTGTGTAGAATGTTGCTCCTATTTTGATTTTGGAATTCACTCTTCAGTTGTCAAAATGCCGTCCAAGCAAGAAGAGCAGCATATCAAAATTTTGCTCGCGCATCGCGAAAATCCGAGCTACACGCACGCAAAGTTGGCAAAATCGCTAAAAGTTGCCAAATCAACCGTTACAAATGTAATTAAAGTGTTTGGGGAACGTTTGTCGACAGCCAGGAAGTCTGGATCGGGGGGAAATCGAAAACCGGAAGCCGCTGAGACGACAAAGAGAGTTGCCGGTAGTTTCAAGCGAAACCCTAACCTCTCTCTCCGAGATGCCGCAAATAAGCTGGGTGTATCGTCTACAACCGTGCATCGAGCCAAAAAACGAGCCGGAATATCGACTTACAAGAAGATAGTGACTCCAAATCGCGATGATAAACAAAATACGACGGCCAAAGCGCGATCCCGGAGGCTGTACACGACGATGCTGACGAAATTTGACTGCGTGGTAATGGACGACGAAACCTACGTCAAAGCCGACTACAAGCAGCTTCCGGGACAGGAGTTTTATACGGCAAAAGGAAGGGGAAAGGTAGCAGATGTTTTCAAGCACATGAAACTGTCAAAGTTCGCAAAGAAATATCTGGTTTGGCAAGCCATCTGTACCTGTGGCTTGAAAAGCAGCATTTTCATAGCTTCCGGGACTGTCAACCAAGAAATTTACGTGAAAGAGTGTTTGAATAAACGTCTGCTGCCTTTCCTGAAGAAACACGGTTGTTCCGTACTGTTTTGGCCGGATTTGGCATCTTGCCATTACGGTAAAAAGGCCATGGAGTGGTACGCCGCCAACAACGTGCAGGTGGTTCCCAAGGACAAGAACCCTCCCAACACGCCAGAGCTCCGCCCAATTGAGAAATACTGGGCTATTGTCAAGCGGAACCTAAAGAAGACCAAAAAAACTGCTAAGGGCGAGCAGCAGTTCAAGTGGCTGTACAAAATCTGATGGCAGGGGTCAAGCGTAAGGCCCGGCAATTCGGATTTGGAAAAGCGGAAGCCTAACTGAATATTTTTCCTGAATTTTATACTAATTGAACTTGAAAAAGAAATTTAATTTGATTTTTTAAATAAACGATTTCACCGATTTACACGCGTTTTCCCTTGACCAAATTTTGACCGTATCACCCTTTATCTGGGTATTTTAGAAAATAGTTATGCTAATTTAATTTGCTTAGAAACCACCCGGATTTGCCACCTCAGAATGTAATATTTTTATGTCAAATTGAACCTCAATTCTCTCGAGAAGATCCAAATGTATTCAAGGTTATTCTGTAAATATTTCAGCATATGGGTGTATTTTTTTTAAATTATTGGATCAAGTGAATTGTATACGGAACGCATGCTCAGATAATCATTAATTTTGTAGATTT